ACAACTTCACCTTAACATCTTAAAGGATGACAACTTCACCTTAACATCTTAAAGGATGACAACTTCACCTTAACATCTTAAAGGAATGACAACTTCACCTTAACATCTTAAAGGAATGACAACTTCACCTTAACATCATAAAGGGATGACAACTTCACCTTAACATCTAAAGGATGACAACTTCACCTTAACATCTTAAAGGAATGACAACTTCACCTTAACATCTTAAAGGGATGACAACTTCACCTTAACATCTTAAAGGGATGACAACTTCACCTTAACATCTTAAAGGGATGACAACTTCACCTTAACATCTTAAAGGTATGACAACTTCACCTTAACATCTTAAAGGGATGACAATTCACCTAACATCTAAAGGATGACAACTTCACCTTCACATCTTAAAGGTATGACAACTTCACCTTAACATCTTAAAGGTGCACAACTTCACCTAACATCTTAAAGGATGACAACTTCACCTTAACATCTTAAAGGATGACAACTTCACCTTAACATCTTAAAGGAATGACAATTCACCTTAACATCTTAAAGGATGACAACTTCACCTTAACATCTTGAAGGGATGACAACTTCACCTTAACATCTTAAAGGATGACAACTTCACCTTAACATCTTGAAGGATGACAACTTCACCTAACATCTTGAAGGATGACAACTTCACTTAACATCTTAAAGGTATGGCAACTTCACCTTAACATTTTAAAGGGATGACAATTTCACCTTAACATCTTAAAGGAATGACAACTTCACCTTAACATCTTAAAGGGATGACAACTTCACCTTAACATCTTAAAGGAATGACAACTTCACCTTAACATCTTAAAGGAATGACAACTTCACCTTAACATCTTAAAGGGATGACAACTTCACCTTAACATCATAAAGGGATGACAACTTCACCTTAACATCTTAAAGGGATGACAACTTCACCTTAACATCTTAAAGGGATGACAACTTCACCTTAACATCTTAAAGGAATGACAACTTCACCTTAACATCTTAAAGGGATGACAACTTCACCTTAACATCTTAAAGGGATGACAACTTCACCTTAACATCTTAAAGGGATGACAACTTCACCTTAACATCTTAAAGGTATGGCAACTACCTTAACATCTTAAAGGTATGACAACTTCACCTTAACATCTTAAAGGGATGACAACTTCACCTTAACATCTTAAAGGGATGACAACTTCACCTTAACATCTTAAAGGGATGACAACTTCACCTTAACATCTTAAAGGGATGACAACTTCACCTTAACATCTTAAAGGATGACAACTTCACCTTAACATCTTAAAGGGATGACAACAACTTCACCTTAACATCTTAAAGGGATGACAACTTCACCTTAACATCTTAAAGGATGACAACTTCACCTTAACATCTTAAAGGAATGACAACTTCACCTTAACATCTTAAAGGGATGACAACTTCACCTTAACATCTTAAAGGGATGACAACTTCACCTTAACATCTTAAAGGGATGACAACTTCACCTTCACATCTTAAAGGTATGACAACTTCACCTTAACATCTTAAAGGTATGACAACTTCACCTAACATCTTAAAGGGATGACAACTTCACCTTAACATCTTAAAGGGATGACAACTTCACCTTAACATCTTAAAGGAATGACAACTTCACCTTAACATCTTAAAGGGATGACAACTTCACCTTAACATCTTGAAGGGATGACAACTTCACCTTAACATCTTAAAGGGATGACAACTTCACCTTAACATCTTGAAGGGATGACAACTTCACCTTAACATCTTGAAGGGATGACAACTTCACCTTAACATCTTGAAGGATGACAACTGACAACTTCACCTTAACATCTTAAAGGTATGGCAACTATCTTAACATTTTAAAGGGATGACAATTTCACCTTAACATCTTGAAGGGATGACAACTTCACCTTAACATCTTAAAGGGATGACAACTTCACCTTAACATCTTAAAGGGATGACAACTTCACCTTAACATCTTAAAGGGATGACAACTTCACCTTAACATCTTAAAGGTATGGCAACTTCACCTTAACATCTTAAAGGTATGACAACTTCACCTTAACATCTTAAAGGTATGACAACTTCACCTTAACATCTTAAATGTATGACAACTTCACCTTAACATCTTAAATGTATGACAACTTCACCTTAACATCTTAAAGGTATGACAACTTCACCTTAACATCTTAAAGGTATGACAACTTCACCTTAACATCTTAAAGGGATGACAACTTCACCTTAACATCTTAAAGGTATGACAACTTCACCTTAACATCTTAAAGGGATGACAACTTCACCTTAACATCTTAAATGTATGACAACTTCACCTTAACATCTTAAAGGGATGACAACTTCACCTTAACATCTTAAAGGTATGGCAACTTCACCTTAACATCTTAAAGGTATGGCAACTTCACCTTAACATCTTAAAGGGATGACAACTTCACCTTAACATCTTAAAGGGATGACAACTTCACCTTAACATCTTAAATGTATGACAACTTCACCTTAACATCTTAAAGGGATGACAACTTCACCTTAACATCTTAAAGGGATGACAACTTCACCTTAACATCTTAAAGGATGACAACTCACCTTAATATCTTAAGGTATGACAACTTCACCAACATTTTAAAGGTATGGCAACTTCACCTTAACATCTTAAAGGGATGACAACTTCACCTTAACATCTTAAAGGGATGACAACTTCACCTTAACATCTTAAAGGTATGGCAACTTCACCTTAACATCTTAAAGGTATGACAACTTCACCTTAACATCTTAAAGTATGACAACTTCACCTTAACATCTTAAAGGGATGACAACTTCACCTTAACATCTTAAAGGGATGACAACTTCACCTTAACATCTTAAAGGTATGGCAACTTCACCTTAACATCTTAAAGGAATGACAACTTCACCTTAACATCTTAAAGGGATGACAACTTCACCTTAACATCTTAAAGGGATGACAACTTCACCTTAACATCTTAAAGGGATGACAACTTCACCTTAACATCTTAAAGGTATGACAACTTCACCTTAACATCTTAAAGGGATGACAACTTCACCTTAACATCTTAAATGTATGACAACTTCACCTTAACATCTTAAATGTATGACAACTTCACGTTGACATCTTAAAGGGATGACAACTTCACCTTAACATCTTAAAGGGATGACAACTTCACCTTGACATCTTAAAGGGATGACAACTTCACCTTAACATCTTAAAGGGATGACAACTTCACCTTAACATCTTAAAGGGATGACAACTTCACCTTAACATCTTAAAGGGATGATAACTTCACCTTAACATCTTAAAGGGATGACAACTTCACCTTAACATCTTAAAGGGATGACAACTTCACCTTAACATCTTAAAGGTATGACAACTTCACCTTAACATCTTAAAGGGATGACAACTTCACCTTGACATCTTAAAGGGATGACAACTTCACCTTAACATCTTAAATGTATGACAACTTCACCTTAACATCTTAAATGTATGACAACTTCACGTTGACATCTTAAAGGGATGACAACTTCACCTTAACATCTCAAAGGGATGACAACTTCACCTTCACATCTTAAAGGTATGACAACTTCACCTTAACATCTTAAAGGTATGACAACTTCACCTTAACATCTTAAAGGTATGACAACTTCACCTTAACATCTTAAAGGGATGACAACTTCACCTTAACATCTTAAAGGGATGACAACTTCACCTTAACATCTTAAAGGGATGACAACTTCACCTTGACATCTTAAAGGGATGACAACTTCACCTTAACATCTTAAAGGGATGACAATTTCACCTTAACATCTTAAAGGTATGACAACTTCGCCTTAACATCTTAAGGGATGACAACTTCACCTTAACATCTTAAAGGGATGACAACTTCACATCTTAAAGGATGACAACTCTTAACATCTTAAAGGTATGACAACTTCAACATCTTAAAGGGATGACAATCACCTTAACATCTTAAAGGGATGACAACTCACCTTAACATCTTAAAGGGATGACAACTTCACCTTAACATCTTAAAGGGAACTGACAACTTCACCTTAACATCTTAAAGGGATGACAACACCTTAACATCTTAAAGGTATGGCAACTTCACCTTAACATCTTAAACAACTTCACCTTAACATCTTAAAGGGATGACAACTTCACCTTAACATCTTAAAGGGATGACAACTTCACCTTAACATCTTAAAGGTATGGCAACTTCACCTTAACATCTTAAAGGGATGACAACTTCACCTTAACATCTTAAAGGGATGACAACTTCACCTTAACATCTTAAAGGGATGACAACTTCACCTTAACATCTTAAAGGTATGACAACTTCACCTTAACATCTTAAAGGGATGACAACTTCACCTTAACATCTTAAAGGGATGACAACTTCACCTTAACATCTTAAAGGGATGACAACTTCACCTTAACATCTTAAAGGTATGGCAACTTCACCTTAACATCTTAAAGATGACAACTTCACCTTAACATCTTAAAGGGATGACAACTTCACCTTAACATCTTAAAGGGATGACAACTTCACCTTAACATCTTAAAGGGATGACAACTTCACCTTAACATCTTAAAGGGATGACAACTTCACCTTAACATCTTAAAGGGATGACAACTTCACCTTAACATCTTAAAGGGATGACAACTTCACCTTAACATCTTAAAGGGATGACAATTTCACCTTAACATCTCAGCGGTTCTTGGGGGGTCAGATTCGAGTCAACCAAGGCGGTGGTGCCAACAGTACTACCAAATTTGTCAGATTTTCTCCTTCAAGTATTTCAATTTTCTCCCGTACTAACACTGGAGACTAAAAACAGTACAAAAGATTAAACTGTACGGCTACTAAGGTAATAAATGGCGGAAATTATAAAAAATATATTATATAAAGTATAAACATGACACACCCGCACTAAAACAACAATAACACGTGGGAGCAGCTGCGTCTGGTGGTGGTAAGAGTGGTGTTATATTATCAACCTTAACACACATTTTTAAACATTTCCCTGTTAAATACATAGTGGGAACGGTACAGTGAAGTCAAGAGGATAGAATCTTAGGTAATATGTGTCCAGGGTAAAGGTAACTGTGGTGACTTGCTTCCTACAGGTGGGAGATTAAACTTTTCTCCATATATGGTAAAAGTGTATTAAATCAGGGTAAAATCTTAACAATAAAACCTGATTAATAATGTTTTCAATGGAATGTAGTTCAAAATAATGTAATAATAAACAGCAAAAAACGCTAAATTCCAAAGAGTCACCTATCCAAAATGGAGATATAATTACCCATGTTTCTGTTACTTTGGGGTATTTAACATAGCCGTAGGATTTACTCTTCGTTAGGTTAGGTTAGGTTAGGTTAGGTTAGCGAAGTGCATCACGATGGATCTGAGTCATCTCCCTTGTTCACGAACTCTTTGGAATTTAGCGTACGTCAATACTGAAAGTTTTTCGCTGTTTATTATTTCATCTTACAAATTATTTTTACAAAATTACACTAAAAATATTATTAAACATGTTTTTTGTATGTATAACAGATATTCGTTAAGATTTTACCCTTATTTGCTATACTTTTGGGTAATTCGTGGCTCCCGTGTTGGCGGGTTCCACAATAAATGATTATCATATCAGAAGATGAAAATAATGTAAGAAAATAAACAGTCTCTGTGTAAAGGTACAATGCCGTGATCTTTAAATAATTGAAGGGTCTCGTTGTCTTTATCCCTAACTTCACAAATTATGTCCATGTAAGATCGGCGACAAATTTCACCCGGCATGCTGAAAAGCAAACTGCCTCGGCCCGGGTGCGAGAAAAGCCCCTCAGCACAGCGCGACTTCATTACCGCCCGCACGATAAACTAGTGTGCGCCTAGGTGCCTAATTATCTATGAAATGAACAATTTCCACAATAAATTATTATCATATCAAAACTCACTGATGAAAATATTGTAAGAAAATAAACTGATAAAAATAACTCACTCGCTGGTTAGTCCTATATATTAAGCCAGCAACCACACAAGTTAGGTTAGGTTAGGTTAGGTTGCTGTAATCTGCAATTTTACCAAAGGAAGATGACAAAAAGTGCACAAAAAATGTATTTTCCACAATACAGATACTGTGGAGGAAGACGCTTCCCTCCCAACCTTGTGTACAGGAAGAAATTTTATTTATTTTACAGTAATATTGGGCAATTCCATAAACAACATGTCAGTAAATTTATTTATTTATTTATTTATTTTTTTTTTTTTACAAGTAGACAACCAATGAACCTCATGAATTTTTTCTGGTTAGGTTTGTTAGGTTAGGTTATTTTTGGTGTTTTTTAGTTGTTTAGCAATGTGTGTTTCCGATGCTTTTTGTTGTGATTAGATGGAATTTGACTATAATTTTTGCCACCAATTAGCAGCGTTGTCCACTTGTAAAAATTTATCAGGTAAATTTCCATTAGTCACCCAGTGAAGAGTTTTGGTAAATATTCGTTTAATGGCTTCCAAATTACTGTTGAAACTTAGGTCTTTTTGTATTAGTGCACAGTTTTACCTAACCTGATCAAGGCCCCCCCTGATTAGGTTAGGTTTGGTTGGTTTTGGGTGATTTTCTATGTGGGTTTTTTTACCCATATTTCTACTACCCAAAGAAAGAACAGTGAACTAATATAAATTGACCGAAACCTAACCAAACGTAACCTAACCTCACCTCACCTCACCTCACCTCACCTCACCTCACCTCACCTCACCTCACCACACCCAACCCAACCTAAAATCTTGCCACAATCATCAATCACAGATTAACCTCCATTTCTAAGAGAAAGACGTTTTTCTGATAGTTTAGACAATTCTAAGACCCTCCTCCTACTCTTCTTCTACAACATTTCCCTCACAAATTACCTAAAATTACCCTGGATCCCTCGGTATATTTAATTAATTTGTAAGGGAAATGGCATTGAAGAAATTGTCTTAGAATTGTCTAAACTATTGATTACACGCACCAAATTCTCAGTACTGTACCAGGTGACTTCAGCAACACCTCCACTGGTAAACCTTGGGCCACACACACTGCCATTTTTCTCACCATTGGGGATACATATGAGAAGTACAGTACAGTATCCTGAAAGAAACCATCCAAGACCCTCCGAGCCGTAATACATTCTTTAAACACAATGGATAAAGGTACGTCAGCCGTATTGATGGACTGTGTTATTAATGGTTAGGTTAGCTGGAGGAGATGGCTAACACCAGGAGGCGTTCTTCAATATAATTGTTTTTTCACAAATGTCATTATCATTATAGTAAGTATTTTAAAAGAGACGACATTTACTCGACCCTATTAGAACCTGACCTGACCAACCAAAGAAATCTACCTAACCTTACCTAACTTCCTAGCGGGGAGGGGGTGGGGGGACCCCTGCCTATAGCAAAACAGAAAGTACTTATTTTAATATCTGGTACTGTACCAATGAAAGCTACTTTGTTGAAGCATCATGGTGTAATTTTACGTATTTTGTGGACGTGAGAGCACTCTCAGACTGAGTGAATCAGTTGTAAACAAACTGAGCAGACAACAAGACTTGCTGACTCGGCAGTTTTTTCGGAGGAATTTTTACGGTAAATAATTAATTTCTTCACATACAAAGCACGTAGATACAAAAAATTTTACATTGTATGATCAGTTTTTCACCGTGTTTTACTCTGCAATTTCCCTCATCCTTCACACCCTGCCCATTACAGGTGATTTATAATCATAGATAAAGAAAATATATATGCTATATACAGCTCCTCCCCGACTCACGACGGGGTTAGGGACCCAAATCCAGGTCGTAAGTCAGAACTGCAAAAAATAATACATATAAAATCTAAAATGAAATACAGTACAGTAATAGTAATCAATAATGAAGAATGGATACAGTGTGACTGTGCACTTACCTTTAATGTAGTCGGCTGAATGCACACGGGGCCCCCATAATTTTCTAATTATACATGGAGACGACATTAACTGGATGAAGCAGAGGAGGAGACAGGGCTGGGTGGGTCATCACTGTCGCTTTCTTCAGACAGGTTTATGTACAGGGGAAACTTGCTGGTTGAAGGTATTGGATCATTTTGAGGGAGTGAAGAGGCAGCACTGGTGGGGCTTGAGGAGACAGCAATGGGGGACTTCTTAAAATAGATGTCCAATTTAGACTGCACAGTTTGCTTTTTCTTTTCATTATAAATCTCCCTGCAGCAAGCAAGTGCATCTTGGACCATTCTGTCAACTTTGGCAAAATGCTCAACATTTTGATCCATTCCGTCAAACATTTGCATCCCCTTATTAATTGTAGCAAATGCATCTGCCGTTTGCTTCACTGAAAAATTTTTGGGGGTGCAGGTTCTTCTTCTACATTTAAACTCTCTTCTTCCTCTGCATTTTTCTGTGCTTCCAGTTCGTTACTGAGCTCTTCTACTACACTTTCAACCAACTGCTCAACATCTTCATTATCAATTTCTAACTCAAGCTGTTTACCCAACTCCACTATATTGTTACTAATCTCAGAAATTACTTCATCTTCATTAAATCCTCTAAAACTGTTCACATATATTTTCAGGACTTTCTTCCATATTCCATTCATGCACTGACCTGTAACCTCATCCCATGCTGCACTAATGTTCTTTATACATGACAAAATGTTGTAGTCCTTCCAAAACTCTCTGAAGGTTTTCTCACCTTCAGTAGCAGCAACAGCCTGAGCGAAGGTTGTATGTAAATAATTTGCTTTAAAATTTGCAAAAGCACCTTGATCCATGGGTTGGATGACAGAGGTAGTGTTAGGTGGAATGTACACTACCTTAACATCAGGGTGCAGGTCGTCCAGGTGTGGTGGGTGTCCTGGAGCATTGTCCAAAATTAACAAAATCTTGAATGCAATCCCTTGTTGCAGACAATACTCCTTGTCTCGTGGAATGAAACAAGTCATGAACCAATCCTCAAGCAGTACTAGGGTCATCCAGGCTTTCTTGTAACTGCGATAAAACACTGGCAGTGTGTGCTTGTTGACATGTTTAAAAGCCCTTGGGTTCTCTGAATGATATATCATGAAAGGCTTTATCCTGACTCCAGCTACATTCCCCCCAACAGAAGTGTAATTCGGTCCTTGAATGCCTTGAATCCTGGCATTGTTTTCGCCTCTTTGTGGATGTATGCCCGTTCAGGCATGCGCTTCCATAATAAGCCAGGTTCATCCACACTAAATATTTGCTCAGGCAAATAATTTCCCTCCACGATGACACGATCTAGCTCCTCCTTAAAAGCTTCGGCAGCACCAACATCAGCACTTGCTGCCTCTCCACTCACCTTAACATTATGTAAACTGTAGCGGTTCTTAAATCTGTTAAACCACCCATGGCTTGCTCTGAAGGTTTGGTTGCACTCATCTCCTGCTCCTTCAATTCGAAAAGGCTTCTTGCCTTAGCCTGTATGGTTAGAAGGCTTTAGGGTACACGCTTTTGTATCTGGTCTTCCATCCATATCACAAGTAATTTTTCCATCTCATGAATGGGACCTTGTCTTCTCTTCATTATTATTGTTCCCTTTATAGGTGCTGGTCCTTTCACTACCTCACGAATACGTTCCTTGTCCTTCAAAATAGTAGATATCGTCGAGTGCGAGAAGCCTAGGTCGCGTGAAATGGATGCAACAGTTTTTCCATTTTCATACTGCATTATTATCTTCATTTTCGTCTCAAAAGTAATTGACTGTCTCCTTTTCTTCTGAGCACCACCAGCACTCTCACTTGTACGCTTGCTAGTCATTATAAAGTGAATTAGATACGAAAATAATGTCAGTACACAGCGCGATCATTTGCGGATACAACGACAGCCAAACACGAACTAAGCGCTCTGCTGCGTGGGTGCTGTAGCCATGATGCAACCTAAGCCACTCGACGCTCTCATACGGGACGGAAACGTTACAATCTAGAAAATACGCCGTCATTTGAAAAATTTTGGGGTTCCGACTGCTGCGGTCGTATGTGCGGATGGTCGTACCGACTGAGGCAGGTCGTAAGTGCAGGTGGTCGTAGGTCGTAAGTCGGGGAGTTGCTACAATTCTTGGCTCTTTTAATTTTTTTTTAACTAAAAAATGGCCTCCAGCCTCCCCCAATAGCCACACCTTTGCTGCCATTTTATTACCTTAAAATTAAATATCCTAATACATAAGTAGCTACCCTAGCTGTGTTCAGTTACTTGAGCTGCAGATCTATGTGGCATTCAGTGACTGTTGCCTCATAGTCAATATCTGCAGCTGTTGTCGGCTTTGGGGCCGATGCTCTCGTTCCCCTGAGGCAGAGCAAAGCAGACCTAAGGAGAGGGAAGGACAGTCGACATCTCATCCAGGCTGTAACATAACTTCTGGGCTGCTGCTTCTGTTCGGTTAGCACCTCCGCGAGTCTGGCGTAGAAGCATCTTGCATTTGGTTCCATCCCACCAGAGGTTGTGAACACCAGAGGAGTGAAGGCTCCCAGACAGATGGCCGAAGGACATTTGGCCAACGACATTTGACCGAATGGACAATAGACCGAATGGACAAATGGCCGAACGGACATGGGACCGAATGGTTATAGGGCCTTTTTAATTTGTTTTGTTATTTTTCTTTCTTCTTTGCAATGTATTTGCTTTATAAAACAAAGGATAAAAAGATAACATAATTGCAATGTGATACATTTGCCTGATATACATTTTTTTTTGCACATTTACTAAAGGATAAAAGATATTAATTGTAATGTAATTGATTTATAAAAATTGCTGTATAAAACGAAATGTTCTTAAATATTTAAAGATTGTGGGCAATTGCTCTCAAGAAGTCGATTCTGGGATACTCCTCATTCTCAATGACGGACTTCAGTCCTGTGTTTAATATCTGGTACTTCTTCGGTTTCCTCAATACAGTACCATTCCTGCTGCTGCCTGCTCAATTGTCAACTCCCAGTCCTACTGCTCTTTTCTTAGTTTTGAAACGAGACGGCAAACGGTGGGGCGGGTGATTGCCATTCTCTGCTCAAACCCTCTGTGCCATCCTTCAAGAGAGTGTGTTGTCTGTGGAAAGCCTTGTGTGTTTCTCTCCAGTATGTTCCACAGCCTGAGTTCAACTGCTGGTCTTCGTCGTCTTCCACACTGTACAACACCAATCCGTGTCGCTTCAAAGTAGCCAAGATAGAAGTTCATCAGTTTCATCATCTAGTGCTGAGACAAATTCATTGAAGCTTTCAGCATCGTCACTGACTGGCACAAAAGCTTGAACGGACTTGACGGTGAGTGCATTTCTTGGGTCATTATACCAAGTCTGTAGTCCTAAGCCCTGTGTTCGTCTCCACAAGCACTGCCCGAAATGGAAAAAACATCCAAAAATATTTGTGTCTGGGAAACATGCTGTGATGCTATTAAGAGCCGCTCCTTCATAGTTATTGGTGACTGAAACAGGATTAAGATCTGGTCTCACTTGCTTGAGAGTGCTAAAAATCATGTCATACGTTGCTTGGTTTTTGTTCCTTGCGATGCAGTATACCAAGGGAATTGTATGGTTCTCATCCAGCATAACTTACACTGTATATAACTGAAAACCTTCTGGCGCAGAATCAAATGCCCCATCACACAGCCAGTCGTCTTTGAAAGCAAGAAGCTTTAAGTTTCGAGGTGTTGACAGAATTAGCAGGTTGTCACTTTCATGGATGACGGTCTTCTCTAATTGATTTCCGGAAGTCGTCAGTTAAAAAGTCCCCGTCTGGTGCCATGCGTTGTCTGCGCACCATTCTTGCCAGAGTTTCTTTCATAGGAAGATCACCTGCAGCATCAAGTGGGTACTCACTGGTGCAGTTTTGTATAACAGTCGATGTCACTTCCTCCGACTGTCTAGCTCTTTCTTTAATTTTCTTTACTGTACTGTTTTCAAGTACAGGTTACGTCCGGCATTAGGCAGACATGTGTGATTACTTGCTTCTTCTTGAATAACGTCTTCTGTTTTTAATCGTCCCCAACAGCTTCCTTTGCGTTCACATCACCAATATATTACATTGTCTCTACGTTTAACAACGATGTAGGCGTAGCCGTCAAGCAAAAGCCTTCCCTCTTGTCGTTGGTATGAATTCCATGGTCTTAAAAGAAACAAATATTAAATAAAGTAATAATAATAATAATAATAATAATAAAAACATCCGCTTACCTTTACGACCTCTGAAGAGCGACTGCATCAGAGTCCAGGCAAGCAGGGCTAACGTTTGGTTGGTTTGGGGCGTGGCTAAAAAGTTCGAACAAGCATTCTTTCAAAAACTTGACCTGACTTAACATGACTAGTTACGTCGCCCTTTCTTTTGTGTTTGTGGTGGTGTTGGTGTGTGGATTAGTGGATGTCATGTTTTTTGACCTGACCTCATGTTTTGTAAGGTCGCCCTGTGTACATAAACCTCCCTCAGTCCTTGTAATTCACTAGTTAAATTGAAATTGGGGAAAATAATGCTGATTGTTTCCGACGTCTACCGGATATTAAACACAAGACTGAAGCAATTTTTATAAAGCAATTACATTACAATTAATATCTTTTGTCCTTTAGTAAATATACAAAAATTACATTGCAAAGGAGAAAGGAAAATAAAAAAATATTAAAAAGGCCATATGTCCATTCAGCCAGATGTCCGTTTGGCCATTTGTCCGTTTGGTCTATTGTCCGTTCGGTCAAATGTCCGTCAGTGAAATGTTCGTCGGCCAAATGTCCTTCGGCCATCTGTCCGGCCACGGGAGTGAAGCTGCCTTGATCAACGTTCTGAATTCTCTCCCCGTATGCCCTTATCTTGTCGTTCTCGTTCCTCTTGTGTGCAGCATCGAGAGCTAAGTTACGGTGACGTGCGGCCATGGGATAAAAAATCCCGGTGCCGAAGAACATCTGTGGAAAAAATTAACAAAATCAAAACTCCTTCTGGTGTTTGTTGTGATATCGTAGTGTTCTTGTTTTACATGGCCATAATACTCGGACGAGAGAGAGACACAACCAGTGTTACTCAAGAGAAGCCGTCGGTTCCAGTTACAGTATGATGTAAACAAACTGAACAAAGAAAATGCACAATGGTGAACTATAGCAAACTTACATAACTAAATTTCAATATTATCACAGTGTTAGCCATATCTTCCAGTATTACTGGTTAGGTTAGGTTAGCTTCAGTTTGGTTAATTTTATTTAGGTTTGGTTAGTCAGAAAGAAGGCCATCTTAGTAACTATCATCTGCCCACCACACATGCATACAGTATTAGGTTTCTGTACCAATACACATCAACGTTTTGCATACAGCTGCCACACCTGTATCTTGTGCCTTTTTTAACCAAACCTTCTGGTTCCTTTTAATACAGTATTAGGGCAATGGTTATTGGAACATTTGGGTTAAGTCTACCGGTAGTAGGCAGCTACCAAACAGGGAGGAAGATATTGGAAGCATAATGTGTTGTTTAATGGTAGACCCTGCTGCCATATGTGACCAAGTCCCAGGTTGATGATCTGACTTTCTGCCTCATTTACACACAATTGCAGGGTCTCAATTGTTTTTCTTACCCTTGACAACACAATATACATACAGTGAACCCAGCCACATTCATTGCCAGGCTCAACCATGATGACATAATGATCTTTCACCATCATCCTCGAACTCCATTTCTCGGTCTTCTCATTCTTTATCATCACACGAGTGGCGGTCTTCTTACCATCAAAATAGAGTGACGTCAAATTATGAAAAAAAAGTTGAAAAACACTGAACAGAACATTGCACCGCCACAGCGGCTGTTTGGCTAGTACTGTAGGTAAATTTAAAAATTTCAGTAGAAAATGCGGCAGACTAAACCTAGACATATCAGCTTCAAATTTGGCATGGAGTCTTAGATATGTATAAGGAACAATGCCTGAAGAGTGCAGCTTTGAGCAAAATTTCACTGCCCCCTACTGTACTGTATGTCAAAAGTTTATTTTAAGTCTAAATAAAACTAATATGTCATTTCAGACATTAAATCTGGCTTCATCATGAAATATGATGAAATAAAATTAAATTCTTTGTAACAATTCAACGACTTGCCGACTTTTATAGGAAAATAAATATAAAAGGCGTACAGTACAGTACAGTATACTGATGATTTGCATAACAAATTTTAATCTTAATTTTTTCCTAATTTGTTGTTGTTGTTTTTCCCCTAATTTCGTGGTTTTCCATTACAGTGGTGAAGTGATATAGTACCTGTATGTTTCTAACGCTGGTGTGAGATTGATGAGAAAGTCAGAGAGTTGTTGGAGCAGTACGTGTACCTCCCACTCACAAGCTATTACTCATGGTGTTCCTCCACATGGTTGTATGCACATCACCTCTCATGGTGTTCCTCCACATGGTTGTATGTACATCACCTCACTTGGTGTTCCTCCACATGGTTGTATGTACATCACCTCTCATGGTGTTCCTCCACATGGTTGTATGTACATCACCTCACTTGGTGTTCCTCCACATGGTTGTATGTACATCACCTCACATGGTGTTCCTCCACATGGTTGTATGTACATCACCTCACATGGTATTCCTCCACATGGTTGTATGTACATCACCTCACATGGTGTTCCTCACATGGTTGTATGTACCTCACATGGTGTTCCTCCACATGGTTGTATGTACATCACCTCACATGGTGTTCCTCCACATGGTTGTATGTACATCACCTCACATGGTTCCTCCACATGGTTGTATGTACATCACCTCACTTGTGTTCCTCCACATGGTTGTATGTACATCACCTCACTGTGTTCCACATGGTTGTATGTACATCACCTCACTTGGTGTTCCTCCACATGGTTGTATGTACATCACCTCACTTGGTGTTCCTCCACATGGTTGTATGTACATCACCTCACATGGTGTTCCTCCACATGGTTGTATGTACATCACCTCACATGGTGTTCCTCCACATGGTTGTATGTACATCACCTCACATGGTGTTCCTCCACATGGTTGTATGTACATCACCTCACATGGTGTTCCTCCACATGGTTGTATGTACATCACCTGCTTGGTGTTCCTCCCACATGAGTTTGTATAGCACATCACACCTCACTTGGTGTTCCTCCACATTGTTGTGGCATGTACATCACCTCTCATGGTCCTCCACATGGTTGTATGTACATCACCTCACTTGGTGTTCCTCCACATGGTTGTATGTACATCACCTCACTTGGTGTTCCTCCACATGGTTGTATGTACATCACCTCTCATGGTGTTCCTCCACATGGTTGTATGTACATCACCTCACTTGGTGTTCCTCCACATGGTTGTATGTACATCACCTCACATGGTGTTCCTGCACATGGTTGTATGTACATCACCTCTCATGGTGTTCCTCCACATGGTTGTATGTACATCACCTCACTTGGTGTTCCTCCACATGGTTGTATGTACATCACCTCACTTGGTGTTCCTCCACATGGTTGTATGTACATCACCTCACATGGTGTTCCTCCACATGGTTGTATGTACATCACCTCACCTGGTGTTCCTCCACATGGTTGTATGTACATCACCTCACATGGTGTTCCTCCACATGGTTGTATGTACATCACCTCACATGGTGTTCCTCCACATGGTTGTATGTACATCACCTCACATGGTGTTCCTCCACATGGTTGTATGTACATCACCTCACTTGGTGTTCCTCCACATGGTTGTATGTACATCACCTCACTTGGTGTTCCTCCACATGGTTGTATGTACATCACCTCACTTGGTGTGTCCTCCACATGGTTGTATGTACATCACCTCACATGGTGTTCCTCCACATGGTTGTATGTACATCACCTCACTTGGTGTTCCTGCACATGGTTGTATGTACATCACCTCACATGGTGTTCCTGCACATGGTTGTATGTACATCACCTCACTTGGTGTTCCTCCACATGGTTGTATGTACATCACCTCACATGGTGTTCCTCCACATGGTTGTATGTACATCACCTCACTTGGTGTTCCTCCACATGGTTGTATGTACATCACCTCACTTGGTGTTCCTCCACATGGTTGTATGTACATCACCTCACATGGTGTTCCTCCACATGGTTGTATGTACATCACCTCACTGGTGTTCCTCCACATGGTTGTATGTACATCACCTCACATGGTGTTCCTCCACATGGTTGTATGTACATCACCTCACTTGGTGTTCCTCCACATGGCTGTATGTACATCACCTCACATGGTGTTCTCTCCACATGGCTCCACATGTATGTACATCACCTCACATGGTGTTCCTCCACATGGTTGTATGTACATCACCTCACATGGTGTTCCTCCACATGGTTGTATGTACATCACCTCACTGGTGTTCCTCCACATGGTTGTATGTACATCACCTCACATGGTGTTCCTCCACATGGTTGTATGTACATCACCTCATGGTGTTCTTCCACATGGTTGTATGTACATCACCTCACTTGGTGTTCCTCCACATGGTTGTATGTACATCACCTCTCTGGTGTTCCTCCACATGGTTGTATGTACATCACCTCACATGGTGTTCCTCCACATGGTTGGTTGTATGTACATCACCTCACTTGGTGTTCCTCCACATGGTTGTATGTACATCACCTCACATGGTGTTCCTCCACATGGTTGTATGTACATCACCTCACATGGTGTTCCTCCACATGGTTGTATGTACATCACCTCACTTGGTGTTCCTCCACATGGTTGTATGTACATCACCTCACATGGTGTTCCTCCACATGGTTGTATGTACATCACCTCTCATGGTGTTCCTCCACATGGTTGTATGTACATCACCTCTCATGGTGTTCCTCCACATGGTTGTATGTACATCACCTCACTTTGAATGCATCATGAGGTACTTTACAGTGTCCTTGAAAATGTGAATAAATACTGCCACTGTAGCAGAGACCCGGGGACAGAGGCCATTAACCCAGGGCAGTGCAGACCAAGGAGCTGTACTCTCATAACCCCAGCCCTACTGGTGTTGTTACAGTAGGCGGCTACCAAACAGGGAGCTACTACTGCCTGGGAAGATATTGGAAGCATAATGTGTTGTCTAATGGTAGACTCTGCTGCCATATGTGACCAAGTTCCAGGTTGATGATCTGACTTTCTGCCTCATTTACACACAATTGCAGGGTCTCAATTGTTTCTCTTACTATGACAGCACAACATACATATATTGTTTCTCACTATTGGTTTTTTCATTCTTGTATTTCTTTGTAGATATTATTATTATTACAGTGTTGTTATTATTATTGTTATTACCATTAATATTTTATTTTACTTTTTATTATAAATTTTATTTACTATGAATTATTATTATTATTACATTTCACCCCCCAGGCCCTGATGTAGGTCAGTGACCTGTGCCCGGGTGGGCTGATCCCTGTAAAAAAAGAAAAAGAAAAAAAAACAGTATTATTTGGTCTGAAGTTCTATGTAAGAGAGAGACCAAATAGTAGGGAGTTGCCAATGGTCTTTGTTGCTTGTGTTTAGGTGAATAAGAGTAATGAGATAATGTGTCAGTGTTACAGATGATCATTGTGATCTTTCCTTTTGATGAGAAATGTTAATATGCAGAGTTTTCAGAACACCATTGTATTAATTTGCATTTAACTTTACTATACTGTTCATTACAGTATAAGGCGTAATGTGTGTAATCACATCACTACATTTGTGTTATGAATAATTGATCACCAAGCTACCAACTTATGTAATCTCTCTCTTACTTTTCCAAACCCATCTATGGTATCACTGTACAGTGGTCCCTCAGTTAACGAACACAATTTGTTCCAGAGGGTCGTTCGTTACCCGAAAATTTCGTTAACCGAAACCATTGTTTCAATGGAATTTTGGATAATTGGTTCTAGCTCACCGAAAATTACATAAAAACTAAAAATAAATGCAGTAAAGTACACTTACTTTGAGGTGTGCATGTAGAAGGCTCCTGGTTGATGATGATGATGGGAATTAGAATGGGGGTGGAGGAGAAGGGAGAAGAGAAGGCATTGGGGTGGAAGAGAAGTCACCCCATGCTTCATGCCGCCATTTCACCCATAAAATTTTACAGGCTGTAGTTCACTTGGTGTAATTCAAGATTATTTTCTTTAAATCAGTATGTAAAATAAACTTCAGAATGACCAATAACTGTACTGTAAAACTTAAAAATAGTTTATGTTCAAGAGAGTCTGAAGCAAGAAGCTTCCTCCACTGAGCAGGGACACACACTGACGTCACTTTGGGTGTGTTGAGTGGCTGTTTGGCGCGCTAAAAACTAGTTCCCTGTACTTCAATTATGTTAAATAATTGTTAAAATGACTAAAAACTTTAATATAAGACTTGGAAAATTATTGAATGGTACAACCTTCTTGATATTTACCAAAATGGTAATGAATTTAAGCCCTAGAACCGATTACTGTATTGGCGGACTAATACTACAGCTGGTTAGCAGGCGAAAACACGTTGGGAAAAATTCATAAGCAATTCGTTAACCGAAGTGAAGAATCTTATGGAAGGTAATTCGTTAACCGAGGGATCACTGTACAGTACATCACAACCAGATAACAGATGGAGATAAACTACAGCTTAAACTTTTACATTGTAACTCATAACCATTTGCCAACTTTTCCTCCCCAGCCGAGCTCTTCCACAGGTCAAGATGAAAGAAGTTCCGCTAAGTACGTGTGAGAAAACGTCGATTGTGTCGGCCATCCGGGCAGGTCAACGCTACGACAACAGAGAGTTTCTCGAAGTCCGAGACATCTCACTTAATTTTGGGAAGGACTACGGTTCCTGCACTGTCACCCTTGGCCAGACTAGGGTATTAGCTCAGGTGTGTCTTAGTTTACACACTTTTAACTTAACTATGGGAGAAATTAAAGGAATCTTGCTGTACTCTTACAAGAGAAATAGTATTAAGTGATAATAAATTATTTATGTATTACAGGTCACCGGCGAAGTAGTCGAGCCGAGACCATCCCGACCTAACGAAGGAAAAATATCTATCTCGGTTCACTTGTCACCCATGGCTGCACCGCACTTTGAGTCCGGGCGTAGTAACGACCTGGTGGATGAACTGCAGCAAATATTAGAAAGAAACATCAAGGAGTCAAGATGCCTCGACCTCGAGTCTCTGTGTGTCCTGGCGGAGGAAAGTGTCTGGCAACTGAGAGTGGATGTTACGGTGAGTAGTTTACTGTACTGTACTGGCGGAGGAAAGTGTCTGGCAACTGAGAGTGGATGTTACGGTGAGTAGTTTACTGTACTGTACTGTAAGTGCTAGTGTTGTAAAGAAGCAACGTAAGACCATAAGCCTTGCTCCGTAAGTGGAAGCTTTTAACCCACCACACACTCGCTCCACCTCTGCCCGTCAGTGAGTACAATACAAAATAATTTAGTTTATTTATCTTTTGGGATGTATAATATATACTATTTTCTATAAAAATTCCATTGAATTTCTGTATATGTAATGTATTTCATGGGGCAGAGGGAGGCTGGGGAATATAACTACAGTATTTTATTTATTTATTATGGGGAAAATTGATTCTGTTAACGTTGTTTCCGTTAACGCCGGGGTTTTCGGGAACGGAACCACAACGTTAAGCGAGGACTTAGTGTACAGTACAGTACAGTGTATGTTATAGCAGATAGAGAGAAAGGCTAACAGTGAGGAAACTGAATAACAAAACTCTACTAATATTTTCCCACTATCACAGGTGCTGAATCATGCCGGTAACTTAGGAGACGCTTGTAACCTCGCGTCTGTTGCAGCTCTTCGGCACTTCCACCGTCCCGACGTGACGGTGGAAGAAGACGGACGAGTGACCATCCACACCCTGGAAGAGCGTGAACCCATTCCTACCTTCATGAAAAAAGTGCCCGTGTGTCTCACTTACGCTTTTTTCGTTGTTGATGATAAATGCTACATGCTGATGGATCCTTCAGAGAAAGAAGAGAGGGTAAGCAATTATTTTTATGAATTGGTTAAATTATGGATAAAAGTTAAGTTTGGCTTCATGAGGTTTGGTTGGTTACTGAGACAGACCCTTGTCCCCCCAACCTGCCTCCCTTCATAGAGCAGTGATCACCTTCTCACAAATCAAACTTAAGCTCACTAGTTTCTCATTTGAAGAATTACTGGACTTCTGAAAGCATACAATAAGCCTCACAACTTGAACAGTGATTGTCCACACACACACACACACACATACATACATACTACTACTACTACTACTACTACTACTACTACTACTACTACTACTACTACTACTACTTTGCTGTCACCCGGAATCAAGTATGACGATCATCCAGCTATGATAAAATGATACAAGTTATTAAGGATGTCATCTAGGTTAGTGAGTTTTGAGGTGACTAAAGAGGCTGATACCGGATTGGCAGTGTCGTTCACAGACGTTGCACATGTGGAAGGCTACATCTAGTGCGGGAGGGGCGGCAGCAGCGTCTTTCCAGCATTGGCGCTTGTCTGCCTCAGTATGCAGTCGGGCTAACTCGAAAGTATTGACACCTTCTCGTGTGGTGCTCCTCCAAGTGTTAAGGGGTGGAGTAATCGCCTCCCAGGTGAGGGGTCGATTTGGCACTTTTTCAGGTTTGTCTTAAGACTATCCTTATACCTTTTCAGTTGGCCGCCAGCAATATGTTTACTATTCGTTAGGTGACTGTAAAATAGCTGCTTTGGCAGTCTACTGTTGTCCATGCTGATAACATGGTCAGTCCAACGTAGTTGTTCATGGATAATGGAAGCCTCGATGCTCCTACAGTTGGTGTCAGCGAGAATACTGGCATTTGTTCTCTTGTCTTCCCAGCGAACTCGGAGGACGGAACGTAGACTACGTTGGTGAAAGTTTTCAAGTGCCATGAGGTGCCTCCTGTATGTGACCCATGTCTCGCTGCCATATTGCAGGGTGGGTAGGACCACTGCTCGGGTACAGAGTCTGCCAAAGGCTTGAGATGCACATCTGATCCGATGCTGAATCACTTCACCGATGTCCACGGTGGTGGACAGGTGGGAGCCGAGATACTGAAAGTGGGTTGCATTAGAGAGGGTAGTACCGTTAAGCTGGCTGGATGGTGGAGGTGTGGCTGAACCAGGGGCAGGCATTTCAGTTAGCCTGTGTAGGATGCGTTGGCGGATGGCAAAGCCAACTCCATAAATGCGGTTTCTCTCCACAATAGGCTTACCCTTCCAGAAGAAGGTGTAGCCAGAGCCCCGTTCTGTGAGTTGGCCCTTGTTTGGGAGTCGGGACTCACTCATGGCTGCTATGTCGATGTTATACCTAGTTTGTGCCAGTATCCAGAAGGGTCCTGACATTCCATGCAGCGACTATAAGAGGTTGTACAGTATAGTTTGTTTTTGTTTTGTTCTGTGATTATAAGTGTTTTTGACCACACAAGGATGACCTTACTAGGTGCGGTTGCCCAGTCAGGTTCATTCTTTAGGCAGGTAATGTTTAGGGCACTTTTTATAGCCCTCTCCCCATGTGGGGTGAGCAGAGTGGCTCCTCAAAAGGGCTGCTCAGTCGCACAGACTGGACTGGATTGCACAACTGCCTAGATCCCAGTGCATAAACGACCATCTTATCCCCGTCGCCACTCGTCCATCGCCGTAGGTCTTTTAGGGGTACAGTGATATCCCCGTTAGCCGGAACAATTGGTGCACAGCACATCCGGGGATGAGAGATTTCTGGCTAACCGGACGACTTTCTCAAACCCAGAAAAATTCCTTATCCCGGAATATTTTCCGGTTACTGGAAAAAGTTTGCTAGTGTCTAAACTAGACATCTTGCACACACAGACACTAGCCCACTTCCCCAGAATGTTTCTAGGTGCTGGGGATGTTTTCCTTGAGTCTAAACTCCCCGAGTCCGTAAATACAGCTCTCATTAAGTTAGAAACTTCATTTCTTTCCTATAATAATCCAGAATAGTTTATCTAAAAGTTTGGTCAAATAAATATATTTGAAAATTATAAATCTATATGATATGGGCATGAATGATAAGTGTTGGTTGTTGAGTTATATCCCACTAAGTGTTGTCTTACTATTTCCTCCTTTTATGCATTAATCTCACTCAGTGTGTTGGGGAGTCCTTTACCACAGCTGTTTGTTGCCACAAAAGTGAAGGCAATATATTGATTATTTTTTATGGGGGCTTTCTGTATAGCATTAACTCTAGTGTTCGTATATA